TTCAAAAAATATGTATATATTTTTAATAAATATAGATAAGTAGCAGGAATAATCTGATACTATTGAAATTGTTTTAGACTTTTTGATGTTTAAAAAATATTTAAGTTGTATAGGCAGCCCACGGCTTTACTCGTTTATAAGCAGAAGGCTTAACAAAACAAGCCGGTAAAGTAAAAAAAGAAGGCGGCTCATAAAAGAATATGAGAATAGGGTAAACAGATTTCCAACACTGTCAGTTAAAAAAAAAAATCGTCTGGATAGCAAGCAAAACCGGCGAATTTTTACTTACCTCGCCTTTGGCTTTTTCAACTGCAATGTCGCCCTTTTTATTTTGTAATCGATAGCAAAAGAAACCGTACATCTCGTCGGTAGCCTCGCATAATAAAAACGAGAGGAGCAGAGGTTGTTGCCTGATGTCCAGCATGTGTCTCATGCTACTTCAAACATCTGCCGGCCCGCCGATTAATTTATTCGCCGCCGTTCATTAATTATAGAAAACATAGACCGGCTCTTTCTTGAAGTACTATCCTTATACGCCAGTTTATTATAAAGTTTGACATTTTTTTCGTTTTTTTTCTTATAAACTATTAATTTTCTAGGGTTCTAAAGAAAGAAAACAAACTTGTAAGAGATAACTAGCTGATCTATAGCTTTAAACCGTAATAAATCGATTAAAATTAGATATATATTTTCTTTTTGTTTGTTATGTTTTAAACATGATATAAATTATTGGAAAGAAAGATGATGGTTATTTGTTATTTACGCGCATTCGTGTTTATTCACTTAAGAGACGGTTTGTGAGCCGTCGGATTCAATTAATACGAGTTAAAAGCTGATTCTAAAGATCTCTTGTTTAGACTAAGTTTGAGCGGCTTAACTTGCGGTGAAGTTCCAAGGTTAGTTGTGTTAACTCGAACACCAGTTGGCGGAGGGTGGTGGGATATCGGTGTCGTCCGGTCAACGACGACTTCCTCTCACGCCCGGCTTCGTCCTAAGTCATCGGCCAATTAAATAACCCTTTCGACAAGTATCGAACCGGCCGGAAAGAGTGAATATGAGTCAGGATGGTTAATATGCTCGGCTCGGCATGGGCACGTGCTCGTACACGCTGCCGTGCATGCCGCCCTGCACTCTTGGCACAACATCCTAATGTACAAACAGACTTTGAATCCCTAATAACGTGGCACACTCACCTAAATTCCGAGTTTTTTCCACGGTCATGTTTTTGTTATTCGAAAATGAGGGGCTTTAAAAAAATGGGTAGATAGAACTCTCTTCCAAAATGGGTTTTTGACAGTCAAACCAATGCGTCGATTTCTCTTCTGATATTGAGCATTGACCATCAAGCAAACGTTCCAGTTGGGAAGCTTAGAAAATGTTTCTACGACAATGGGATCGATATTAAAGGTGTCTCAGTGAATACCGCGTGTGAGAATGAGGGGGAACGTGCCCCCATCCGGACCGTCATAATAGGGCCGGTTGGCAACAAAAAGAAATAATCTTTATATATGTATCCAGCATAAGCCCGATTCTATGGGGTTCTAGTCCCAACGCCACAACCCTACATTCAAGCTCTCAACTAGCGAATAAATATTTGACTTTGTTTATATTGATTTGATTTAAGCCATTTAGATAAAAATATACTATTGATATTGACTGAGTTTTGAAAATCAAACACACTTTTCAATTTTGGTAATACAAAGTCTTATTCTGTCCGAACATTTGAACATCATGAACAACATTGTTCATTTTGTGCCCGTATACTTTTGCCGGGACTTCTCATATTCAATGAGAAATTCAGGAGTGAAATTAAAACCACGAGAATGGACGGACCCACTAAAGCGATCGTTCAACATGTATTTACCGACTAGCAGACCAGCAAACACAATATACCAACTTTTTACCTAGAACGTGTGGTGATTAGTGACGGTTAATCGATAATTATTTAGAAATCGTGAGATGCGGTCTGGTGTGATGTAGGTTTCAGAAAAACATTTTCTTTATCGTGCCTTTAGCACAATTACTCAGAAGACAAACACTTTGAGCCCTGAAGATGATCTCAATAAAGATAGAAACGTTGGCACGATAAAGAAAATGTTTTTCTGAAACCTACATCACACCAGACCGCATCTCACGATTTCTAAAAAATTATTTTTACCTACAGTATAATGATCCTTATCGATACGCGCGTTAGTTATGAGTCAAACTTTCAGCGACATGTCCCCGTCATCAGTAAAGTCCAGCTTGAAGATTAGTCGATCATCCTGGTCCTCGCTGTTTTGGTCTGACTACTAGGCAGAAAACAGTCATCACTCCGAAGTTTTCAAGAAGAAATCGCAGTTTTTCTTATTTCAGACTTTGTATTCACGGAATAGTTTTATTTCTCTCTTAAGACTTGAAGTTCGATAAGAACTAAAAAAAAAAATCGAAACAAAAAATTTACCTGGATATGTTATTCATAACACTTAATCGTCGGGGGCGTCGGTCGTCACAACGGTTTAGGCTTTGACACGGCGCTCATAACTGGTAAGGTAAAGGTCCCGGGTTCGAATCCAGCGGCCCTGCAACCAAACCCGACATACTGTAACCAGCGAGGAATTATAAAGTCATTTATGCAATATATGAATGAATAAGTTTAAGAAAATCTAATTATTAAATACATGAATGAATAAAGTGTTATATTTTGGTTCTTTTCCTTCACAGAAAATCCCTTAAACTAGGTACAACGAAAAACTCTCTGGACTGAAGAAAATACTGGGCTAATATCACTGTGGATAAAAAAAAACAGGTGCCCAAAATTTGAGCCTAACTAAGTCGGTCGTCGCAACGGTTTAGGCTTTGACACGACGCTCATAACTGTAAGGTAAAGGACCCGGGTTCGAATCCAGCGGCCCTGTATTCGAACCCGACCTACTTACAAATTTGCTTTTTTTCAAAAACACCGGTACCCTGAGGGTTGACTCTGCTGTTGAGAACCCTCGTTAAAATTAAAATAAAAACATAATTCGAAACGAAAAATTTATCTGGATATGTTACACACTTGCCATTTCATAATTGAACGATTTTGTATAGTTCAAATAATAGAGAGATTTGAATCTCATGAGATCTGTGATGAACCTTTAATTTGAACGTTACGGATCATGGTCTGCCTCTCATCGACTCGGTTTGGTCTGACACGCACGTTTCGGCTTCTCGTCGTCATAGTTTCTCATTTTTGCTCGTCATATTTTCAATACAGTTACAAATAAATAGCTTGAATTTTTAGTTTAAATAATTTTTCACGCAATCTCTGACAATTTTGTGCCTGCCACCCTACCAAAGGATGTTATAGCGACCCGGAGCCCTTTCCCTTTAAAAATTATACGGGTTTTCTCAGTTGTCTAATGAAAATTGATTTTGCAAAAATAAATTTATTTATCTAGTTATAAATACATAACTCAAAAGTAGAGAGAACATAGTTGGGTCGGGTCTATGTCGTGATCGTGATCAGTTTAACTGCCTGTAATTTTTTTTTTTTTTTCTATCAGACGTATTTTTTCTTCTCGCCATCTTCAATGACAAGGTCAACGAGAAGCCGAATGGCAAATACCAAAACAGTGATGGGCAGATCAAAATGATCGGATACCATCGGATTTTCGCTGAAACTGACTTGTCTTTTAACACGATGATTTTTTTATACTTTAAGTAATCGTGACTGTTTTCAATGATAAACCTGGAATTTGATCGTTACAGATCATTTTGGTCAGCTTGAACCAAAAAAAAGGTGTGGTACGCAGATTTAAATGATCGGCAACGTCCAGACTATAGAAATAAGAATGTACTCGATTATGTTCATTTCATATTACACGCTAAAACCACACAAGTACGTCGGAAACGATACCGAGGGATCCTACGAGAGTTCATTCATCACATTAACATAAAAAATAAATAAACTTATGATAACTCGGGATCTAGTGGGAGATGAACCTACAGTTTGGTCGTATCCGATGGTTTTGGTCCGCATATACTCGCTGTGTCGGTTACCCAGACGGGTTTAGATTTCTCACCGTAAATGACACACAGACCGAACAGATGCAAGATGGCATAAAGCTTCGCAAGCAAGAAAACAATTACACAACGCAGACCAAAATGATCGGAAACGATCAAACTATAGTAAATAATCAATTTGATTTCGTGGTCCGATTGACATCTATCAATTAATTTATCTGTATGTAATGTATTGGTTGAGATAAAAAAGTCCGTGTCACTAGCGGGATTCGAACCCACGACCTTCGGCTAAATACGCCGATGCTCTACCGATTGAGCTCTCGTGACTAAGTTCTACTCGGTCACCAACTCCCCATCTCAACCTACAACCATCCCTAGCCATTACATTTTACATGGATTATTTTAAACGACCAAATAAATAAATAAAATAAAATAATCCCTGAGGAAGGTGAAATAAAACACCGAAAGCTTGGCGTAGTTTCAACACCAGAACATTCATTGGACCACATCCCCGATCCTGCCAAAAAATAATAGTTTTTAAAAGCTTTCTATACTTATCTAAACTATTACCATCATGTCTTTGGATACCGCATAATACTTACGGCTCATAACACTTCACAAAACGATACAAAAAAGCTCATTTCTGAATTTTCCCTCAATTTTTTAAATGTCGTGTAATATATTTGATTCTCGGAACTCCAACTTTTGAAAAATGGCAAAAAAGGAGGGAAAATTCGAAAGGTTGGGTTGAGATGGGAAGTTGGTGTTCGAGTAGATCGAAGTCACCATAACTTAAGTGGTAGAGTAGCAGCGTATTTTGCCGAAGGTCGTGGGTTCGAATCCCGCTCGTGACACAGACTTTTTTATTTCAACCAAAACCTTACATAAAGATTAATTCATTCATATAGTAAATAATAATGTACTAATTTTACTTCATTTCATACGCCAAGATTCCTCACTTACTTATTCCACTTTTGTGATGTAATAATTCAATATTTGTTATCTTGTTGCAGAATAAACCTCTAAAAAGATCTAAAAGCCAAGAATCGCTAAATAAGGTAGAGTAGAATATTAATAAAAAATAAAATTGTAGGTAATAGGTACAAGGTGGGAGAAAAGGTCTATAATATGAATTTTGAAAGAAACCTTTATCCTTTTTACTTTTCTTTTTTAAATTAAAGATAATTTATAAAGAGCGATGATGATTGCATAGTAATCAATGTTGGATCATCTAATGATCCATCTAGTTAAAATATTAAACAAGTGGGTTTGTATACATAAAAACATAGTCCTCAGGCAAGACTTGGCATACAGTTTTTTTTTATTTCCCCAAGTCATATCAATGCGTGAGCCCGTGCTTTCATTCCCAGGGGATTTCGCAGGGAGTCGGTGTCCCGCCGTGTAACTTCTCTCTTATTCGGCCGACATCGCGTGATCGGCCCAGCTGTTCCCAAGCCGGTAATTACCTCACGTGGAGCGACTGCGAAAGAAGAAATTCAGCGGGGGAAAAAAGTCCGCGACAGATAGTAAATTGGGTCGTCCGAAAAAGAGAAAAAAAAAGTTTTATAACTAAACAGCTCGTTAATTCGGGTAAAGTTTCGGCTGCCGGTAGCAGGAAGTCATGATTAACATGTGTTAATACGGGCTCTGTCCTTCGAACCCTCCTGATGAATATGCAGTCGACGCTCGTTCTTCTTGATCGGAAAAAATACCTGTCACTCACTATGTTTAAAACTATGAAACGCGTTTGTTTATGCATTCGTTAAGAATTAATTAAGTTTTTTCATATTGGCCGGGCGTGCGTGTATGAGGCAACCGGGTCGGAACAACTTAAACAAGCTCACCTTAATAATTTCTATCACATAAAGACTTAATTAGGCCCTTTTTAGAGAACGGGCAAGCCACCAGAAAGAAATTATGAAAACGGTTTTCTCTGCCCTCCTCGTTGTTTGGGTCCATCAAATGAATTGAGATATTTAACCATCATCAGAGGACCGATGTAGCCGCATGGTTAGGGCGACAGACTATCGACTCCTACCTATATTTTTTTAGCCTGTGTGATTTCTCTTAAGTCGTCTCTTTTTTTAAAGAAAATTATGCTGATACTAGCACCCCACCCATTACGATCTTCTAAAAGAGACTGCATAGAAATCACACAAACCCAACCTTGAAGTCGGCGAAGTACCGAAACGCTACTGGCGTACCAACACACCGAGGATGGGATGACCAGGAGGAATCGGGGATTGAAGGCTGCATACTTTTTGCTCGTAGTTAAGCCATTTTTGATCAAGATGAATTGCCATCCTTGTTGTTTGGGCCCATCAGACACATTTAGACAATTAAGGGGACCGCAGTAGCCGAGTGGTTAGTTCGTCAGACTATCGGCTCCTACTTCAGTGTTGGGCCTTTGTGATTTCTGTGGAGTTAAGTCTGTTTTTTATTTATTTATTTTTTAAAGAAAAATATCGCTCCCACTCGTACCCCACCCATCAGGATCTTATAAAATAGACTTGACTTCATAGAAATCACACAAACCCAACACTGAAGTCGGCGAAATACCGAAACGCATCTGGCGTACCAACACACCGAGGACTGGATGACCAGGAGGATCGGTGATTGAAGGCTGCATACTTTTTGCTCATAGTTAAGCCATTTTTGATCACATGACCTGCCATCATCGTTGATGGGATCCATCAGACACATTTAGACATTTAAGGGGACCGCAGTAGCCGAGTGGTTAGTGCGTCAGACTATCGGCTCTTATCTTCAGTATTGGGTTTCTGTGATTTCTGTGAATTTCTGTTTTTATTTATTTTTAAAAGAAAATATTGGTGACACTCGCACTCCACCCATCAGTATCTTATAAAAGAGACTTGACCTCACAGAAATCACACATGGCAAAATGCCGAAACGCATATGACGTACCATCTCAGCGAGGATAGGAAGACCGGGAGGATTACAGCCTGCTTATTATTTTTTATCGTAGTTTGGCCATTTTTGATCAAAATCATTCTCCCTCCTCGTTGTTTGGATCCATCACACACATTTAGGCATTCAAATATCTTCAGAGATTCACTGGAGCCGAGTGGCTACGTATCTTCACCTTTAGGTCAGAGTGATTTCTGTGCCTGAACGTATTTCGACATTCCGCTATTTTTATTGTTGGGCATGTGTGACAGACGATAGCGAGAAACAGAAAGGCGACTAAGAGACCGAGCGAGGCGGACCAAAACGATCGGGTACGGCCTAACTAGACATAGTTTAAAGATGGCGAGAAGACGAGATGCGTCAGAAAGATAAAAAAGACGCGCAGACCAAATGACCGGACAGTATCAAAATATAGTAATTAAGTTATTATTGAGAGATCGTTAGGTGCGGTCTGGTGTGACTTAGGTTTTAGAAAAATATGTTTTTGCCAACGTTTCGATCTTTATTGAGATCATCTTCAGGTCAAAGTGTTTGTTTTCCGTGTAGATGTGTCATTCTTGTATTCGTGTTGACAGTGCCACTGAAGATGATCTCAATGAAGATCGAAACATTGGCATGATAAAGAAATTTTTTTTAAAAAACCTACGTCACACCAGACCGCATCTCACGACCTCCAAATAATCATTGGATAACGCTCACTAAACACCAGACATAGTAATTAAGAATATACTAAATATAGTTCTTTCAAACGCCACCCTATAACAACAAAACAATCAGTTTCCCATTTCATAATTGAATGATTTCATGATTAAATACATTCTTACTGCAAAATTAATCAAATTCATACGTCGAATAACTTAACACTTCTGCTAAGTCATATCAAGTTTATTTACCCTTTTCATAAGTAATCGCTGATGACGATAGGTTAGGTTTTTACAAAATGGCGATATTCTTAAATATAGGCTATTTATTTGAAATGTTAATGTCAAACTATAGTAATTAAGTTATTATTTGGAGATCGTGAGGTGCGGTCTGGTGTGACGTAGGTTTTATAAAAACATTTTCTTTATCATGCCAACGTTTCGATCTTTATTGAGATCATCTTGAGCGCTCAAAGTGTTTGTTTTCCGTGTTGATGTGTCATGCTTTTGTGTCGTGTTGAGAGTGCCACTGAAGATGATCTCAGTAAAGATCGAAACGTTGGCATGATAAAGAAAATGTTTTTCCAAAAACTACGTCACACCAGACCGCACCTCACGATCTCCAAATAATCATTGGCTAGCGGTCACTAAACACCACTCATAGTAATTAAGAATATACTAAATGTAGTTCATTTCATACTCCACGCTATAACAACCAAACAATCTGGTTCCCATTTCATAATTGAATGATTTCATGATTAAATACATTCTTACTGAAAAATTAATCAAATTCATACGTTGAACACTTCTTTTAAGTCAAATCAAGTTTATTTATTCCTTTTTTAAATAATCGGCTCTGATGATGATAGGTCTTTCTTAGGTTTTAACAAAATGGCGATAGTCTTAAATATAGGCTATTTTTCAAAACGTTAGTTTATTCAGCCTGTGTTTAACACGACGGCAATTATCCTAGGGGCAAGGCGATAACGGCGAAATTTGACGCACATAATTACAAACCTGTGTAGGAAGGTGTTGGTTAACCGGCCATCAAGCACGCTTTTCTACCCACTTGTTCTACACTTTGTACGTACCGGGGCCTGCACTGCGCACAGGCGATACTTTACAATTTACATAAACAAGTTTAGATTTAAATTCAATTAAGACTAAAGCGTAAAATAATTCATGGTAACAGTATTCTATTTTTTTTATTAATGCCAAGAAAATTGAGGAAAAAAGGTAATAGAATGTGTGGGTTGTACTGTGAGTATGGACTACCAGTTGTGCAATTCTATTTGAGTTATATATTTATGCTAAATATTATATTAAAGTTTATTCTAAATAAATAATTTATATTTTCTTAGCAGAACTTATTTCTATGCACATAACTTTCAAATTGATTACGACTGTTAACTTTGTGCTAACACAGGCTTTTGTATCCTTTTTGAAATTTATGCGCAGATTGAGATAATATCCCATGAAAAAAAGCATGCCTAACAGTACAAAAAAATTAAATAAAATTGACATAAAGGTTAAATTCATCGAGATCCAGACAAAGATTAACTGACAAAACTTTAGCCAGGCCATTTCTTCAATATATTCAATAAAGACATTTCCTATAAACCCAAAAAAAGGGAAACATTGGTGAAATATACCGGTTGATTTAAAATTGCATTGTTAGCATGTGTCGACTAGTGAGATTTCTACATGTCGTCTATTGATCAACCCTTAGTTTGGCCCGTACTGTTTTCATTTTTCATAATCATTTGACCTTCTCGTCATTTTCAGTGACACCCAGACTCGATACTAAGTACGGCGAGGAGCCGAATTGTTTCGCCAACACCAAATCATTGAGCCGATCATACTGACCGGAAACGATCCAACCATAATGACCGTTAGTCGATGATTATTCGGAAATCGTGAGATGCGGTCCGGTGTGATGTAGGTTTCAGAAAAACATTATCGTGCCAACGTTTCGATCTTTATTGAGATCATCTTTAAGGCTCTCTCACACGACGCGCAAGAATGGCACAATTACGCAGAAAACAAACACTTTGAGCTTGAAGATGATCTCAATAAAGATCGAAACGTTGGCGCGATAAAGAAAATGTTTTTCTGAAACCTACATCACACCAGACCGCATCTCACGATTTCCGAATAATCATAGTAAATAATAATGCAATAGTTTTAGTCATTTCATACGCCATGCTGAAACGGAGCCGAACTGTTTTCATAACTCACCCTATGTTATTTTATATAAATTTTTTAAACTCTTAATATGAACAAACTCATAGCAGCCACCCTAATCGTTTTTCGATCAATCGGTTTGGTTTTAGTGAATAATACGAAAAGAAGTAAAATTAGTACATTACTTACAATAGCTTAATCGTTTCCGATCATATTGGACTGGGTATCCTCACTGGTTTACAGTGACACATTTCCATTTCTCACCAAACATAATTTTGATCCTGTGAGACAATGAAGATGGCGAA